TTGTTTTGCATGATACATCTCGTGCAAGCGTCCATTCTGACTGTATTGATATTGATGTGATGCTTCGGTAAGGCATGAAAACAAAGATTAGAAAATGAATTGTTTCACTCGCGGCTGTTTACTGTGTCTTGCTTGATTACTTGTGTCTTTGTTGTTGACTTGTGTTTTTGCTGGTCTTTGTTAATAGCTTGTGTCTTTGTTAATAGCTTGTGACTTTGTTAATAGCTTGTGTCTTTGTTAATAGCTTGTGTCTTTGTTAATAGCTTGTGTCTTTGTTAATAGCTTGTGTCTTTGTTAATAGCTTGTGTCCTTATTAATAGCTTGCGTCTTTGTTAATAGCTTGTGTCTTTGTTAATAGCTTATGTCTTTGTTAATAGCTTGTGTCTTTGTTAATAGCTTGAGTCTTTGTTAATAGCTTGTGTCTTTGTAAATAGCTCGTGTCTTTGTTAATAGCTTGTGTCTTTGTTAATAGCTTGTGTCTTTGTTAATAGCTAGTGTCTTTGTTAATAGCTTGTGTCTTTGTATGACTCATCTACAAAAATAAAATGTCTTCATTTGACCTACGGAAAGAAAATGAATACCCCCCCCTCCCTCCTGGGACATCCAGGATCTAGAGCAAGGGTTCCCTACCCTGTGCCCGCGGGCGCCATGGCGCCCGCTGAACGATTCGTATGTGCCCGCCTCTCACTATTCGACAGAGACAGAATTTTTTTCATAAACATTTTAAACTAAGATTTATTTTTATTAATTTGTTACAGTTTTAATTTTTTTTTGACTGCCTAGGTTTATTAAATATGTTCGATACTTGTCCCAACTTGTCTAGCGGCGAGCCAGACTGCACTATTTACGCTAGCCTGGAACGGCTAGTGCCATTTGCACATCACACCTTGTACACGCAGAAAACCCGAAGTGAACGAATGGAACGAACGCCACGAACCGATCCGATAGAGCATCAATGTGAGGTCACGATGACTCTTTAATCAAAAGTCGTAATCGACTGGAAGGTCGCCTACTGCAGGCAAACCGGCACAAAACACAAAGTAAGGAACTTACCGACCGCTGTGATGCAATAGTTGACCAACATAAAGCTCAGACCCAGACCTAAGGCCACAAGGGATACTTTGATCACAGCCCTCATCTGAAACAATAGACACTGGTGAATCAGTGATGGGAATATTGATTTTAATCAAGAAAAGTTCTTTAAAATTGCTCAATCTTGATTTTATTTAAAAAAAAAATAATATAAATATAACCTGCGTTGATAAATATTGCAACTTAATTTTCTTTTAATGATTAAAGGCATTATAAAATAAAAATTTTGAAAGAAAAGGCCAACCAATATATATATAAATAAATAAATAAATAAATAAAAAAAAAAAAAAAGATATATATATATATATATATATATATATATATATATATATATAGATAGATAGATATATATATATATATATATATATATTTAAATATGTGAGTGTGTGTACGTGAGTGTGTGTTTATGTGTATGGTATGTGCGTGTGTGTGCATGTCGAAACAACTTAATCAGAAAAAAGAACGCTTGAGGTAATCGACGCCGTAAGTACACCCTTACCTCCCATTTTGGCGCCCTTTTGTGGTCGTCAGAGACAGCCCCCCAACACGACCTCCCCTAGCCTCGTCCCATGGGGCAAGGCATTTGAAATGAGCTTTAGATTGCCAGTCCTTTTAATTCTACCTCATGATTTATTTCCTTTCGCCTTTGCGAACCGTATGATAATACAGATGGCACCACTTTCACAAGAGATACCTTTACATAATAATGTTTTCTAGGAACATAACATCGTTTCATCATATCATCTATCAGCCAGCTAGGTCAGGCTGTCGCAGTAGCGTAGCAAGGGGGGGGGGGACATATGTCCCCGGGCGCCGACCATAGGTGGCGCCAAAATGAGTTGGAAAAGTAAATTGAAAGGTTGAGGGGGGGGGGTGCAAATCGAAAAGTTTGTCCCCGGAAAGGGTCGCTACGCCTCTGGGCTGTCGCCTACGCTGAGAAACCAAATACGGTACAGACGGGGCGTCACAACAGTGAGCCGGCACACACTTCATTACCCAACGCAAACGTTTTAGAGAAGATAAAAAACATCACCCCGAAGCTTTAACTTTTTTTACTTTCTCGTATATACGAAGTATAAAGTCTTGTAATCGTGCAAAAAAGTCATAATCGAGATTTTTGCAAAGCTCGACGTTTTAGGGCTCACTGAGTCGGAAAAACATAGTTTTGCAATCTTATCCGTATGTCTGTGTGTATGTGTGTCTGTGTGTGTGTGTGTGTGTGTGTGTGTGTGTGTGTGTGTGTGTGTGTGTGTAAACAAGATAAATTGAATACCGTTACAGCTAGGTTGATGAGATTTCATATATAAGTATTATATCAAAATCGTACATCCGTATAAACTTTTGAGCGATTTCCGATAACCGGAAGTGGTACTTTTTCTACTTTGAAATCTTCAAAAGCCTATAACTTGAGTACTATTTCACACAGATAAATGAAATTTCGCATGTAAGTAAAAAATTTAATACTCTACCTTCTATCAAATTTTGAGTAATTTACGTTTAACGGAAGTAGTAATTTACGCTATTTCCGATTTCTCAAAAAACTAATGTAAATTTTTAAAGTGCTAATAATATTGCGCAGTATTATGCACATTTTATTTGGCGTTCACTTGGTGTGCAATTCTTTTTTCTACGAGATTTTATTATATTTTAAATAGTTTAAGTATTTAAAATGGATTAAAAATCATGTCTATATCCCGAGTTCCCATCCCCTGTTGTTTTATATAAGAATGTTCGAGAAAGTTTAGGGGAGATCACTCCCGGTTTATTATTCATGTAATAAATATATACACGTAGTGTTCGGCTTTATTATTAGTTTTATTGCTAATAATTTTCTTTTATTGCATTCCGATCCAAGGCCGTTAACCTCTGCATTGGCACGTGCAGTGGTTATCGAACTTTATCACATTGATGTTATTTTCTTATTTCACTTGCAGTGCCACTGTAATTTATTGTTGTGTATTAAAACTACAACTTGTCTAGGCAGAGATTCACGATCAGGGAACATACACATATTGCAAAGTTTACTGTCTATTACACCTTTCACAAGTCAGGGAACATACAAACATACACACCTTGCTGTCTATTACACCTGCCCGAGTCAGGGAAAATACAAACAAACAAACAAACTTTGCTATCTATAACACCTTTCACAAGTCAGGGAACATACAAACACTCAAACTTTGTTATCTATTACACCTTTCACAAGTCAGGGAACATACAAACATACACACCTTGCTGTCTATTACACCTTCCACGAGTCAGGGAACATACAAACAAACAAACTTTGCTGTCTATTCACGGTAGTGCCCCTCCCACCGATTGAATACTGCTACGCTACTACAACATTTCTATAGGCTTCGGACAGCTGGCGTATTTTTCTTCGTGCCACTGAATAGATTACAGCGCCCGGTTTTATCCCACCCTGGTGACGTCACTTCCCTCGCGTGGAATCGTTTGGGCGTGTTTGGCATGGTGGGCGGTAGGGCATACGACTGTTAACCGGAAGTCTTGAGCAAAGATAGGTACCGGATCTAGTTAGGTAAAGTAATGGTGGCTATGCATAGGGCTACCCCTTGGTAGCCAGTGTCACTGAGCAAGTAAACTCTACTGCACCAGCACTATAAACGTCACGTTCAACAAGCGTACTTAACTTTTTCTTTCTGGTATGCGGAGTATAGATAAAGTAGGCTATTATCGTCGAAATCAAAATCTTGACACATCTAGATCTTTTGCACGCACCTTTTAGATTTGTATGTTTGTCTGTATGTTTGTGTGTCTCTCTGTCTATGTGTCTGTTTGTGAATACAATAACACGAATAATCAGGTCTATAACATCAAATTTGTAGATTTCTATCAATTTTTAAGCAATTCCCGTAACTAGAGCTGATACTTACTCAACTTCCGGTTACTCAAAATTCAATAACTTGCGTACTATTTAAAGTAGGCCTACGTGAACAATATTTCACTTATAAATATTATATTGTATGGGCAGTTTATTATCAACTTTTTGAACATGGATGAACTATTGAAGATACAATTTGATACACTCATATCATATTTTCAGATAAAACTTGATCGACTTATATCATATTTTTTAAATCAGTATAATCGGATGATTTTTCTCCTCTATGTAAGTTCTTAACAAAAAATTAATAAATAAATAAAGAAAAAGAAGAAGAGCAAAACAAAAGAACTAATTGAGAGGTCATTTCAAAAACTTTTCTATTTTTTTAGCGTGATACACAGGCAGTGCTATCCGAACCATCAATGTTATGTAGGAATATTCTAGAAAATTTATAGGAGTTATTCGCTCTTTACTTTATTAAGTAACAAGATTTTTATTTTCCATATTTGCAATTCGCCTTGTTGAAAAGAATACTTCGAATGTTACAAAACGAACACGGTACTAAAACCTAGCGCGATAAAAAGACTATAACCTACCCGGGCAAATACCACCCGACCTTCCCACCCCACCCCTCTCATATAATCACCAGTCAGATGTGGTACAACACACATTTATTGCCCGGGGTTCTCAGACCAACAAAGCCATAGCGTTATTGCTGCGGCGATATTGCTGCGGCGATATTGCTGCGGCGATATTGCTGCGGAGATATTGCACGAACCCCGTCAAATTTATCACCGTGACAATTTATCTATTCATCTTTTTTAGTTCTATAATCAGGATATCTTTATTGGCTCGGATACAAAGATAGGAATATATATATATATATATATATATATATATATATATATATATATATTCCTATCTTATATATATATATATATATATATATATATATATATATATATATATATATATATATATATATATATATATATATATATTTATATATATAGGCCCTTATATATATTTTATATAATTCGTCCCCTCAGTATTATCTTGTTCTAACTACAAATTTTGATTTTTTCGAAAAACTCGACCCTATGATGTAGAAAAGCACTATGTTCAATCTCCACTTATCTACGTGACTCTAAGTCATCTGCTTCCTACCAAAAAACAAATGAGTTTAAAATATTTTATTTTTAATAGGTAAATCAGACTCCATGAAACTTCAAATGCGTTTTTCTCAAAACCACATTTTAGGAGATAGAACAAGAATATATATATATATATATATATATATATATATATATATATATATATATATATATATATATATATATATATATATATATATATATATATATATATATATATAGTTTATAATTAATTAAAATATGAGTGCGATAATTCCCTGTTGACAAGTGAAAATAACTTAGTCTACTTGTTATAATTTGGTTGCGCCAATTCAAAGCTTTGGTCTGGAACATTTAAAAAAAAAATTCATGGCTACACAAAACTATCACACTTTACACCCTGTTTTACATATAAATATTTTTTTTATACAACTTGCTTGTAAATTTACAAAATGTCATCACTTATATCGATTTTTTTTTCAATTATTTAATAATTGTTCTTATTTTGAATGAACTACAAACAAATTTTGTTTTTGTTCTGTATCATATAGTATAATATGTTTTAGTCTTATATACGTTTTTTCTAAAATACTTAAATCGATTTTAATTGCAGATACAATGCAAACATAAACTTGTGACTTTTGTTTTAATACAATCATGTACATAAACAAAACAATTTTTAAAAAGCTTTATAATAATAGGTGTACAAGGCACTGTAAATAGAAAATTAATCAATTTTTTCTCTATTTAGTTAAAAGATTATTCGCTCATTAAATCTCATTTACAAATTTAAATTGTGCTCTTACCATCGACAGAAATTAATTATTTTGTTCATTTAAAAAGTTTGTATCATAAAGTTTTTAAAAAAAATTCTTTTTAACATTTTCTACATTTTTAGAAATTAGATATTGCAAAAAAGCATGAGTTATGATTAATTAAGTAAAAAAATAATTGTGGATTTTAAAATTTAAACAATTGCCAAAATTGAGAATCAGATATTTATTTTCACTTTTACGAATACGAAGTATAAAGGAAGTGTTGTAAGCGTGCAAATAATCGAAATCAATACTTTCACAAATCTCGACAATTTACACCTCCCTGAGTCGGAAAAACATAGCTTTGTAATTTTGTCCGTATGTCTCTGTCTGTGTGTGTGTATGTTTGTGAACTCGATAACTTGAGTACCGTTAAAGCTAGGTTGATGGAATTTCATTTATAAGTATTATATCGAATTTGTAGTTCTGTATCAACATTTCAGAAATTCCCGGTAACCGGAAGGGCAACTTATTCTACTTTTGATTTTTTAAAAGCCTATAACTTAAGTAGTTTTTCACGTAGATAAAAGAAATTTCACATACAAGTGTCTCCGGTCCAATTTTGAGTAATTTCCGTTGACCGGATGTAGTCTAGTAATTTACGCTATTTCTGATTTCTAAAAAAAAAACGCATATGAGTTTATGAAGTACTATTATTCCGCACTATTATACACATATTGTTTCCCGTTCACTTAGTGCGCAATTCTTTTTTCTACGAGATTCTATTGTATTTTTAAAATTTTAAGTGTTTAAAAACTGATTCAAAATCGTGTCTATATCCCGAGTAGCCATCCCTGTATTGTTGGCGAAGAATATTCGAGAAAGTTTAGGGGAGACCACTCCCGCAATATTTTAAGTCTATGTCGCCACAACTTTGTGTAACCAGTGTTTCTTCCAGACTTTTTTTCTCCCGGAGGGAGAAGGGGGGGAGACACTTGAAATTTTCGGAGAAGGGGGGGACTAAAATTTCCGGTGTGTGTGTGTGGGGGGGGGGGGGGGGGCGGACACGAGTAAAAGTTTATATTTTCTATATAAATTCCGTTTCCTTCGGGGGTGGGGGGTGGGGGGTGGAGGGGGGGGGGAGGGAGCGGTAGAGAGATGCCTGGAAAGAACCTCGTGTGTAACCATCCTTAGTCTACACCAATTTACTTACTATTTTGCTTGTCATTGCGGCCTGTAACAGAAACAGGTATTTGCTTCTAATATTTAGACTATCACAAGAATCCCAAATGTTTTAATATCGACAAGAATACGAAACGAAAGCCTCACAACAGCACAGAACACAGCCTTAAAATAATGATAACTTCTCAAGAAAAATAAACGTTCCTTAAACAATAAAACTTAATAATTATTTTAAAGCCTTACAATAACTTCTAAAATAATTTCCAAGCAGGAAAAAACCTTCCTATTTTAAACAATTTTTAAAACAATAAGATTAAGAAAATAGATTTAACTCACGATAATTTCAACACCCGTGTAACCAAATTAATTTTATAATCTCCTACTTGAAACTGAAATACATTTTATTTTAACATTAAAAGCGTGTCTACACACACTGGGAACATAAAGTTACAGCCGTCCTTTGAAAGAAATCGTCAGCAGAAAACGTGGGCAGTCTGTAAAGAGATTTCCCCTTCCCCATTGGCTGTTTATGATTCGTTACGTCGTGCTATGTTTTTACTAGTGAACTACTATGTGTTTTACAAGCACAACCGTCCGGGTTACGTTTCACTAACACGTAACAGTAACACACCTTAACACCTGACAGTAACACACCTTAACACCTGAACACGTAACACACCTTAACACCTGAACACGTAACAGTAACACACCTTAACTCATAACATTAACACATCCTAACACATAACGCTAACATACCTTAACACCTAACAGTAACACACCTTAACACCTAACAGTAACACACTTTAACACCTTAACACCTAACAGTAACACACCTTAACACCTTGACACCTAACAGTAACACACCCTAACATGTGCACCTTGATTTGTTATGCCTTACAAGCAGTACTGTAATGAAGACTTGATTTCAGAGAATTCAATATTCCCTTCTAGTGTGTGATAAAAGAAATAATCAGCGTTTTATGACATTTACTTTCTCGTATACGAAGTATAATGTAAATATTGTAATCGTGCCGGAAATTGAAATCGATTTACACCTCCCTGGGTAGGGAAAACTTAGTTTTGCATGTTTGTGTGTCTGTCCGTGTGTCTGTATGTGTGTCTGTCTGTGAACACGATAACTTTCGGTTTTTCAAAAGCCTATAACTTAAGTACTGTTTCAGTCAGAAAGAAGTAATTTAACATGTATGCAGCAGATCAAATAATCTGTTTATTGACAAATTTTGAGTGATATCCGGTGACGGGAAGTAGTACTTTACCCTATTTCCGATTTCTCAAAAAAGACATTTGAATTTATTTTTAACTTGATTTCTCTTTTTATCGTCATCGTCGGAAACTTGCGAACAAGTTACACACTCATTGTTTGATGTTCTTCTCTTCTACTTCGTTCTTAATTATTGGTGTTGAAGGGGATCGAGAATTATCTGCCAGTGCGTTTGAACTCGAGACTTTGTTCAAATTTATCAACCATGAGCTTTTTGCCGACTCGACCACGCCTCCAACACAATTAAGCGTTACGTGTCAACTAGTTATGCGCTATTGAGGCCATTGACTCCGATTTCAGCCTGCTTTTCTTTTTGGATTTGCTTCCATAGCCTTTGTCCAACCAAGAACAAACTACAAGGCAGCAGTTGTTTAATTTTGGAGTTGTCTCTCCTAGAAGAGTGGCTGTCCCCAGCTAACGAGCCTCATCTGCCTGGGGGTTCGAACTCGAGACTTTTCGGTTTAGCAACCATGAGCTTTACCGACTCGACCACGCCGACCCCGGTGATGTTCTTTTTGAGCGCAATTCTTTTTTTCTACGAGATTCTATTTAAAAAATTCAAGCCTTTAAAAAGTTTAAAAAAAATGTTTATCCCGACTGCACAGGAGTTGCCATTTCCCTTAGTGTTATTTAAGAATATTTTAAAACAGGTGTACATTGATCCGGTGACTGTGTACAGAAATGTGTACAGAGGTCCTCGGATCGTGTATGAAATATGTTTACACTGTCTAAGGAATATCTACAGAAACTGCGTACACTGATACAGGAATAGAGTTAGAATTTGTTAAGTATTGCAATCATTAATTGGTTGTTTCGTAAATCCTGGTTCTAGGTTAGACGTTCAAAGTTTAGGTCTTTTCCCGAAGTCTTGCCGCAATGGTCTTTGTGTACCTAAAATACCAAGTGCGGAGGAATAATAGCAAGAAAATGAATAAGAAACTCGAAATTTTAACTGTTTTAGTTAATCACGTTTTTAAAAAATACAATTTGTTTAAAGTAAAGTGGATGTGGATTCATGTTTTATTACATAATATTAGGGTTTGATCAATAAAATTATTACATAAATGTTAATGGTGTTAATAATTTTTGTTTGTTTTTTTAGAATCAGTCCCCGATTTCTTATTAGACTAGAAGTCCGGTGGTCGATTTCGTTTCAGACATCAGGAGTTTTATTTGAATTTTGTTCTAAACCCTCACCCGAACGCCCTTGGCACGAAAGTTTTTGGCCAAAAACTAAATTACAAATTTTGAGTGATGTTAGGAATTAAATAAATGTTATAAATAATTAAATAACCAAAGAAAAAAAAACATGAATAAGTTAAATTGATAAATTTAATTAATTAAATGAATGAATAAATGAATGAATGAATGAATGAATGAATGAATGAATGAATGAATGAATGAATGAATGAATGAATGAGTGAATGAATGAATGAATGAATGAATGAATGAATGAATGAATGAATGAATGAATGAATGAATGAATGAATGAATGGGGGGGGGGGGTGCTGCGGTGGAGTTTCCGCGGTGCAGAGTTTCTTTCAGGCATCTCTTCGGGGAGGGAGGGGGTCGGAGAAAGTCTAGACGAACGAATTGGAATTTATATATAAAATATATACTTGTAACAGTGTCCGACCTCCCCCCCCCCCCCAGGAAATTTTAGTCCCCCCCCCCCCCACGGAGAAAAAATTCTGGAAGAAACAATACCGCGGTGGGAGAGGTTGAATAAGAGACTAAATGAATAGATCTTCCTTTATCCTGGCATGAGACTCAAGACCTCAGCTGTTTGCAATTTTGTTAATTTACTTGACTCAAGGATTAGCTCATGTGAAAGATAGGTGACTGGGATTTATTTCCATTATGGCACGTGCTTGTACCTAGATACAGATAGAATGTGCTAATCTTTATTAAACAAAGGTAAACATGAAGCAGGATTAGAGACTTTCTTATGCGTGAGCTAATTTGACAAGTTTGATAATTAAAAAAAATCTTGATCTAGTTGGGGAATTGTAAATAAACTCCTGACCTATTTACCTAGCAGGGGGACTACAAACTCCTGGCCTACTTTTGACATTACAAACACTTGACCTAGTTGGGGAATTGAAAACTCCTGGCCTACCAAAACATATATTAAAGATGCCTTAACATATGATCTAAGCAATACATATACCACAACATATATGCAGCATGATTTCATCCGCTGACATAAAACATGACAAAGTCAGCTTGACATGGTGGTAAAGATCATCTGTGTCACAAAGTTGACTGGACGGAAAACAGATGGTGTCAGCGGCGTAGGCATAATTTGTCTTGGGAAGGGTTTAAGCACACACACACACACACACACAAGTCTTCTGTCTCAGGTAGCGACACCCAAATGAAAAATCTTTAAACTGAAATTTTTTTCGGCCTCCAAATAGAGCCCAATTAGCAGGTGCCACATTGAAAAATCAAACTTTCGTGAAATAAAGGCCACCCTTATATATATATATATATATATATATATATATATATATATATATATATATATGTGTGTGTGTGTGTGTGTGTGTGTGTGTCTATGTGTCTGTTTTTGTGTAAACACGATAACTTGAGTACCGTTACACCTAGGTTGATGAAATTTCATATATTAGTATTTTATCAAAAGCGTAGATCCTGATCAACTTTTGAGCGATTTCCGATAACCGGAAGTGATACTTTTTCTACTTTGAATTTTTCAAAAGCCTATAACTTGAGTACTATTTCAGATAGATAAATAAAATTTCACATGTAAGTAAAAGATCTAATTTTCTACCTTCTATTACATTTTGAGTAATTTCCGTTGACCGGAAGTACTAATTTACGCTATTTCCGATTTCTCAAAAAACGCCTGTAAATTTATAAAGTACTAATAATATTGCGCACTATTATGCACATTTTGTTTTTGCGTTCGCTTGGTGCGCATTTCTTTTTTCTACTAGATTTTATTCTATTTTTAAAAGTTTAAGTCAACAAAAATCATAACTATATTCCGAGTTGCCATCCCACGTAGTGTTATATTAGAATATTTGAGACAGTTTAGGGGAGATCACTCCCGGTTTATTTTAATTTTCATAGCAGAAACGCTAAACTATGATAATATATATACAGCATAACCACCACATCATGACGTGATACCTAGCAAATTAACATCGTAACATCATTGATAGCATAGCAACCACGTTATAACTTTACTAGGCATGCTGCCCAGCTTCGCTTAGGCTTTCGAAAACATTGAGAATTTGAATGCTTAATTAATTCGCCCGAGGATCGGTCTACGACCTCAAGAGTTATAAAGAGGTTCCCCCGTGGACATTTTTTTTTTCGATTTATAGCTCATATAAGGCACCGGTCAGTCGAGGTCAGTTTTGACCCCCTCATCGTAGACTTTTCGGCCAACCGGCCCTCGTGTTCTGTCGCCCCAAGGCAAGATCCTGCCAAATTTGAAGCGCATGCGGCGCCGGGAAGTGCCCTATCGGACACCCGACAACTTTGCTTTATATATTATAGAGATTAGCAAATTGCATAGATAAACAAAGATTTCAATAAAGTAATTATGGCCTGAAATACTTTAGTATAGAAATGTATTGTTTGAATAGATTCTAGATCTAGGTAGGGTCTACATCTGTGTAAGTCTAATTTTTCCCTAGATCTAGATGATCTCATTCATGACAAAAGTCGCATTTAGAGTTTCTTTCAGGCAACTCTACTTGGGAGGATGATCTAGATCTAGAATCCTAATAGAATTTTTTTTAAAGTTCAGCCCGTACAAAATAAAAAAAAAATAGATTAACCAAGTTGACTTGGTGCGTCTCGAACCCGCACCACCTGCGTGGGTACACTATCATCTCCGCTAAATAGGCACCTTATAAAACATGGAGAATGAAAGACGTATTTTAAAATCTTAACTTACGCGAATATGCCTATTCTTTCAAATTAATTTTTTTTATCCCAAATTAGCCAGTTCCAAACAAAGATTTTGTATAAAATAATTATGTCTTGAATTAGTTTAGTCCTAATATAGAATTTTATTTTTGGAATAGATTCTAGAGATGTTAGAGTCTAAATCTAGATCTTAGCGTCTACGTATCGATCTAGTTATTGCGTAGATTTGTAGATTTAGATCTAGTCTAGATCTAGAATCTCTAGATCTA